ACCCCAATTAAAGAATTGTATACACAGATAGTATATAGACATTATATGGTGGTGTTGTAGAAGCACTGTCTTTATCTGAAAAGTTTATGCTTTAAAATTTTTCTGATTGTTTTCCATTTTGTGCGAACAAATGTGTGTTCTGTCTGCTGGTCAGGAGATCTAATTCCCCCTCCCCTGCCAGGTAAATGGAAATGAATTCGCATCTTGTAAACAACATTTAAGGATTTCTCACTAAAGGCAGCAAAAGCAAAGGACTTGTCATGCTTTGCTAGCTTCATTTTATGGGAACTTCAGGACATCTGTTTGTCTCTGATTGACAGCAGGATAATACATATTATCATTAAAAATAGTTTCTGAGGAAATGCATGCTCTCACCTTGCTGCTTCTGCAACTGTGAAGGCTTTTGTTTTCATTGCCATCTCCATGTACGTGAAGATAATCTCTGCAAAGAGGCTCCGATATTGACCTGTCGTATCACGTGTTGCTTATCAAGCACTAAAGAAATTGAATTTTATTTTATCTGTTATCTGGAGTGTCTTATTAAATCATCCTGCAGTTGAGAGGTGGTATGGGGTCAACAGGTTCTGTCTCTTTTGCCATCTATCCCTGGATTATTAACCTTTGGAGAATTACTAAAGCTGTTCTTTATTTTATCCTATAAAGTTGGGTTAAATCTTCTTGATCCATAAATTGTTGCAAGTGAGTGCCACGTGAGTGTAATTCTTTTACTTAATGTGGTTTCTGGATAAGGAATGAGGATTTAGTAATCCGTATAAATATAGAGAACTCTCTTATTATTCTGTTTTTTCTGTTCTTTTGATATTCTCCTGATGCCTCTGGTTTTCATTGGTTCAGTGAGAGTAAAAACAGTCAGATCAAATGATGGAGCTGAGTCAGCAAGTGCTTGGAAGTATTTCTTTGCCAAGAGATAAAGGGAGGGTGGGGAGGAGGAAGATAACTGAGCTGGGTATTACCAGGCATTGAGAGCAAAGGGCGGAGAGAGAAGCTGGCCGTGAGCAGAAGTGGGAATGGGGTGGAAGTCCACCAGCAGCAGCCCGTGGGCAGGAAGGCTCTGGCAGAAGGGAGCCTGCCATCAGCAGAGGGGCTGGGGAGGATCTAAAGTTCAACACCCCTATCCTTCCCCCCCCAATCCTCCGTATGCCTTATTGCTGTATTTCAGTTGGAAGACAGGACTCTGCCTGTCAGGATGTTCACGTTTTAGAGCTTGATACAGTCACAAGATACTGAATTTCCTGCAGCAGCAGAAGCCCCCAGTACTTTCTGCTGTCACCACAAGGAACTTCCTCCAGTCTTAAATGTATTTTCTACTGGAGAAAAAGGCTGGAAAAAATAAATTATGAATACCCCCTCCCCAAAATTTTAATTTTAAATACAAGATTTAATGCAAAAAATATGCTGTTTCACTCAAATTCCAAGCTCTCAATCAATAAATCTTTCAAAATGAATAAACCAAACTATTGTTTTTCAAATAACTTGCCCTTATGCTCAGATATTCACTTAGTGTGTGGGCACTGTTATGCTTTTTCAAGCTTGTTCTAAGAAAATCTGCAAAAAGTCTTTTAAACAAGATCTAGTCTTGTGGAGTGGAGTTTGCATTTCTGTGGAAGCGCTGGCAAATAAACGGTAAATGAGCTCTCTGAATTGCTGCTGCTTGCCGGTGCTGTCTGGTGGCCAGAGCACCGGTGACCTGGGAGCTGGGTACCGTTCAGTTTTCATATGGCCCTGGCAGTAAATCACCTTGTAGCTTTGAACAAGCTATTAACCTTTTTGTGTCTCTTTCTCCTCGCAGAAAAGGATTAACGCCACTTACCTGTCTCACAGGGGTAATTGGTAGATTAATGTTTGGAAAATATTAAGTGCTTCCTGCCATTATTATTAAAACTCTGGTTGATGGGTTAAGAAATCAACAGAGATTTTGAGAGAGTCTTATTTCTTCCCTCTTGGACATAGAGTGCCGATTTGATGTGAGTAATTGAACAAAGACGTGAGAAGTCATGGGCTTGAATGTCCTTGTATTTTGGATAAAAGTTCTAGATGTGACTGAAAGAGGAAAGGAGAGAAAACAACAACTAGGAAGACAAGATGTAAATTAATTTACATGGATTAGAACTGAAAAAGTATCCAGAGATCAGAAGTGAATGCATAAATTGAAATTAAATCCCAGTAGGATTAAGGAAATGTTTCCATAAAATGCAAACCCGAAGGTGTGATGGGGAGAGGGAAAGACAGCAGATGAGCATTTCTTCTTGCCCTCATCAAGACCAAAGTTATTCTTAATGCGATGCTGAGATTTTTGGGAAGCCTACTCAAAAATTCAATAGTGTTTTATCTGTGAAAAATAATTATTCAAAGATTGCTTTCTGCGGAGGTGTTACAGATGGAGGCTTTGTGGTGTGGTAGTTTAAAACAATTGGTCTTTACCTCTAGAGATCCCTGAGACAAATGTTGCCCAGAAGCGAGAGTAAAATTGTGTTTTTAAAGCATCATTTTAGGAGCAGTGGGACAGTTGGCAGACTTTACCAAAGCTGTTGAGAGACTCTGCAGACTTTAATTACCATCTCAATATTGCAGAAGTTGTTTAATTTCTGCCAAAGAAGGCAATAGTTGTGAGAAAGCGAGATCACACTCTGTCTTTCATTCTTTCCTTTTTGACAGGTGAATAAAGGATGCTTTTCAGTATCTCCTCTGATACTGTGACACATTTGTAAAATTTACATAGAATTGTAAAATAATTTTTCTTTAAGATTAACAAAGCTTTTTTTTTCCTTTCTCTTTTGAAAGTGCCGTACAGCATAGTGTGAATGCAGTTTAAGTCTTGCAATGAAAGAACAAGATGAAAATTGAGTGCATTTTCTGCTACTGATTAGTTGGCTTCAAACATTAATAGTTTTGACCTTCATGGTCCAACAACATGTATTATGTTTTGTTTATTTTAGAGGCTTCAATAAATTTTAAATTCAGATTTGAAGTCTGTCTCTGGTGTGAGTGGTTGAAAGCACAACCTGGATTAGTAGAATAAAGAGGAAATTATTAAAATGGGAAGAATCGTTCCATTTGAGAAGGAAAAATAAGTGGGTAATACAAACCTTCCTTGGAGAAGGATATGTTTACTCTTTTAGGCCTCAAACTCTAAATCAGAGTATGTATAACTATATTTTTTGCTGTCATTCATATGAGAAAAAGGCTGACAATATCACTTTTTTTTTTCCTCTTTTAGCTGTTCTCTTCCTCTGTGACACCTGAGTGTGTTTGGGTTTTTTCTAAGTGCTTGCAATAGCCAAGGAAATACTGATTCTTTGAAGACTCTCGCCAGCTCCTTCGGTAGATCTACTGTGTTGCTACTTCTTTTTTTTTTTTTTTTTTTTTTTTTAATGACTGCCTCACACCTGTCTGTACTTGCTAAAGCACCAGACATTGTTTGCTCTATAAAACCCCTTTTTTTCTTCCTTCTCTTCAAGTCTCTTATCTCTCAAGGACCTTTTCAATGCTGCCTTTCAGCTTCAGATCTCTATTGTCACTGTATATAATACGTTCAGAAAGCTACTGCCCAGGAAGTCTACTTCTTCATTTGTATTTTTTGCCATGTATGTGATAAATTGGTACTTAAGGGCAAAGGGAACATCCTTGTTCAAAATCCAGAGGGGGAAGGGTAGATCGTGGAAACAAATAGGCACAGTTTTTAATCCTTAACACTCATCATGTTACTAGGAATACCTTTACGTTATATTTAGAATTTAGTTGTTTTGATGTTTGAAACTTAATGTTTGCAGTTTGTCTGGCAAACTGCATGCTGAATAGATTAAACTGATTCACATTTCCTTATTTCAATACACCATCTGTGCTTTTGGCTGGTTGTTAGCCTGGTTGGGACTCTTGTTTCATAAATGCAAGTTACAAAGAACTGTTATGCCCAGAAAGAGAAATCCTATATTTCACTTCCTTGAATAATCTCGACTGTTTTGTCCTTACACCAGCAAGGACATGAGGCTGAAGCTCTACCTACAGCAGGCTTTATTTCCTCTGGTGAAGAAGGACCTGTTAGCAGCATATAAAGATCCCCTTGGTGTATATTTCCAATGAAACTCTAGTATATATAGTCATGGTCATGATTTTAATTGTGTAATCGTTTTAATTAAGTTCAACGATAAAAGTTAGTCTTGCATGAGGAATGAATGCACTAGAGAGAGAATGAAAGATTGATGACAGCTTGGGAGCATCGTGTATTTTGCTGGTGGAAATGCATGTGTGGAGAGCAGCTGAGATTGGGTAGCAGGTCAGAGATTACCAGCTCAGAGCAACGGCCCGGCAAAGTTTTGGGGATCCAAAAGAAGCAGGATACAATGGGAAGAATATCTCAAAGCATTTTTGGTAATATTGCTGAGGGGATTTGCTTGGATGAATAGCTTCATTACTAAAATAATAAACATTAATTAATATCTGCATGATTTTTGTAACTGCTAGCTTAGTAAGGTAATTAGTATAATTAGTATACAGCATTGCTTGGCGGCATGATAAATCATAGTGTAGTGAATGTTGACTCTTTACCACTATGATGTATTATCTAATTTACACAGGTTAAAAAAAAAAAAAGGTACGGGGGAAATCAAGAAGGGAAGCCAGCGGTGACAGCTGGGTGGCCTTTTGGTCACTCTTCTTGCATCTGCTGCCTGTATTCTCAATAGCTTTGAATCACTGCACTGTTAATTAACAATTCTTTTTCTCACTCTTACTAAGTCTTAATCACTGATGGAAACCTGCAAAGAGAGGCTGGAGAAGAATGAAGTAAAAAAACAGAGACTGGCAGGTTTTTTTTTCCCTTCAGGGTACTTCTGCAAAGGATGGTACTTCTTCCACAAGTCTGTGTGTGTTGGGTATCTCCTTTGCTTTTACATTCCTGGACACATCATCTACCAGTTACGGTTCAGTGCAAGGATGAAGAACATTAATGATGTTTTTCTTCATTATATCCTATTTTCTAGAACCTATGAGAACACCGAAAACATTGAAGATTGCTGAGATCCAGGCCAGACACATCGCTGTGGATTGGGAATCTCTGGGTTACAACATCACTCGTTGCCACACTTTCAATGTCACTATATGTTACCACTACTTCTGTGGACACAACGAGAGCAAGGCGGACTGCTTGGACATGGAC